AAGCTTCCTTCCACCTTCTCCAAGTATAAAAGCACGAGGTCTTTCAACATGGAAGAGAAGTTAAGATGAAATTAAACATCATACAGTAATCAAAATGATAAGTCTGTAGAGTGAACATCATGCATATTCATCTCTCAGGTTGCGGTTATGACAGAACTTACTGCAATATATGCGCTTCCTCAAATGAAAACGATAATCTCTTGCAGCTACTAGATGCCTAATTATGATCCCATACTCAGATTGAAAGCATGGTATAGTACTCAACACGTCCCATACGTGACTAAACAGCATCTTAACCACAGATATCAAGGATACTACGTTGCCTGGGACAAGAAAAACAAGCATCATTGTTATAACTTGTAGATGTCCTGACAAGAAAGCTTAAGTAATCTTTACATATGGAGTTTCATTGCTGAAAAAGATAACAGAAAGGATGCAACCAAAAAAATTGAACCAATCACAAATCAGAACTAATGACCAAAAGTAATAAATACGAATGTTGAACCATGTGGTTCATGAATATTTACCTCGCCAAGAACATGAAGAAGTGCTTCTATGCTACTTTATTTTTCTCAAAATATTGAAATAAATAGGCCTATTTCGTTTGTGGTGCCAACATAAGTTCATTTCAAAAACAACAACCACAGGATCTGTATGAGAATTATGTTCATATTAAAAATGTTTTCCAAACTTATCTCGTTTTTTAAAAAATATTTCAAAAGCAAGAGTAAAATCTAATTAACCAAAATAATCCTACTACATTACCTCGCCTACAGAATCCCCCCCCCCCCCCNCCCCCCCCACAGGCTTGCAAGTTCGCAACAGAAGCTACAATAATGACATATTTCAATCACTCACCAGAAAACTTATTGTCTTCTGCTTTTTGAACGACAACTCTCAGTGTCTTCGCAAATATTAACTTAGGCAGTCGCCGCTTGCTTGAAGATATCTCCATTGACACACATTGGATCAACAATTTTGTGATGAAAGGCCATGTTTCAGCTGAAGATAAAATAAAAATAATTAATCTTTTAACACGGTGTTTGAGAAATAACAATTAAACGTATGCAAATCAAATGGACCGTTGAACGTACGAGGTGGAATTTCTTCTGGCTTTAGCTTAGCAGTTCTCTGTCCAATAAATTTACAGAAATCATTCGCTTTTTCTCCCTCTAGCCATGTATTCAACAACTTTATCCCTTCCTGTAATCAAGTGAAAATAACAAGAAAAACCGAATATTGATATACTAGATGATGCAACTTTCTGGCTATATTAGAACATTTTTCAGGATGCAAATTGTGAAAACTGGATGCTAAGAAGTATAATACACAGCATATTTCGAACTCCCTATTGATTGAATGTACAGCGAAAACATAAAATAAAACTTCTAATAGCATAGAACCAAAGGAGATGCACTCTAAGAGCTTTTTGCATCGTGCATGTCTTGAGCTGGGAATACACAGTTCCGAAACATATTCACAAAGTCGAGAAGAAAAGTAAGTCGAAAGTATAAGAAAAGTGCTTCTTACCTCGCGAGCTTTAGCTTTAACCGAAGATAGCTTTGAAACGATATCTTGGACGTCTCTGGAAGTAACCATGGCGGAGTTCGTTGCTCCGATTGCTATGCTCCGATGTTAGTAATGGATGGGAGAGCTCAAACTGGTGAACTTCTGTGATTGCATTGAATCGGTTGAAGACATTAGAATGGCGGGAAAAAGGATGGTCTGGCAGACGAAAGGGGCTATGACCTGTGAAAGGGCGCGAGGCTTAGACGTTTCGGCGGCACGAAGACCGCGGTGCTGACTACCGACGGTGTAAAATAACATTTACCGTAGAGATACCGAATAATTTACTTTTTAAAATTTATAGGTGAAAAAGGTCAATAAAGACCACATTTTTATTAATTAACAATAAATTAATTGCATTTATCTGTTTAAAATTTTTTAAAAAATATGTAAACTAAATTTAAATATTAAAAAATATGAGGATTAAAATTACAAAAACTATAGTTTTGCTCGAGTCTAGCCGTCATCCAACATTTTAGAACAAGCGAAAAGGTATAACTCGTTTTTATTAAATATTTATTTTTCCACCTAATAAATATTCAAAAGAAAATAGACCGTTTAGTTATATATATAATATATAAACAAAATTATATATATATAAATGTCAGTAAGATGATAATGTTTCTAAATTGTTGTCAATAAAAATGAAATAAAATTAATATTAATTTGAACTCAAGGCCTGTGGTCAAACACTTAAAGTCAATGGGTCGTACTAATCAATATGACCAAATGTAACATAAAAGTTGGTGTAATTATCAGAGAATTTATTTTGGTCGGTTACTAATTGGAGCTGCTTAAATTGCTGAAAAGTTTGAACAATTTTTCCATTTGTTTAATTAAAATTAAAAAAAAAATTAAACAGAGTAATATATATGCACCAAGATTAAAGGAAAATAAATTGTCTGATTAAATTACATTTTATCTCTGCAATTCTCCAAGAAATTAACAGTAATAAATTTCATTTAAGAGGAACAAAGAATGAAACCTCCGCAATAAAAACTTGTCATCTTAACACATACACAATATAAACCAGATAAACACGAGACAATTTCAAATTTCCTCCCAAGTTCTTCATTCCTGTACTCATGGAGGTCGAGTCGAATCTTACAGAAAATCTCAGCTCCAATCAAGCCTGCAAGGAAGATGAACTTTCATTTCAGTTTCTTGCATCAAAAGGTAATTATCTACATGAATTTCACCACCTCGATTCATCGTCGAATCCCATACTCGAAGACGAAAACATGTGCAGTTTGGATCATTTCAATCCATATTCATATGGGTGTTCATCAAATAACAGCAATACTGCTGTTGAGGATTTGTATGAGCTTAATAAAGCTTGTGCAGATCAAAATGGTGGGTGTGGACAAGTAATGGACAACTTCCAAAGCTCAGGAGATTACTACAATTTTCATCAAATGAATCAAATTGACGTAATGGGGTTGGAAAGAAATTCAATTCCACTGGATTTCCCAGATGTAAAACCTGTGAATTTCTTTGTACCTGATGAAGTCTCGTGCATTACTTCAGGAAATGGCCATTTCCAAAAGGCGACCATGAATAAGAATGTGAATTTTTCATCTTTGTTGAGAACTTCTAAAGGTCAAAAGAAGCCCAATGTGATCAAAGGCCAGTGGACAGTTGAAGAAGATAGGTAAAAGTTACAGAGAAAAAAGCAAAGAAAAATAATTAAGTGTTCTGCCAGTACAACAGATCTCAACTTTTGTAAATCTGTTTTGAAACATAATGTGGTTGATTTGATATTTGTGTTGAAAAAAACAGGGTTTTGGTTCAGTTGGTTGAACAATATGGAACGAGAAAATGGTCTCATATTGCACAGACGTTGCCTGGGAGAATAGGCAAACAATGCAGAGAGAGATGGCACAACCATCTCAGGCCTGACATCAAGGTATTTCGATCAAAAAACTTGAATCCAATTTGAACTTAATTTCCATTTGGACCAAGTTTTGATTAGTTGCTGTTTCACAAGTGATCCTAGGCTCTAGTATCTAAATTGTTTAACTAAGATTTGAATTCTGTTTCTATTTAGTTCGATCTCTACATATAGATACCTATCTGGTTCATACTATTTTGGTCTAAGAATTGATGATTAGCTAATAAACGAAATCATAACAAAGTTCAGATCTAAGAAGCTAAAACTGTATTTAACTTCTAATTTTTAGACAACTTGAGTAGATAATTTAACAAGTGAGAGCTATATTCATTCATGTTAGCAAATGAATCACATTTTTACTAAACAAAATTGATTGAAAATGAATGCAGAAGGACACATGGAGTGAAGAAGAGGACAGAGTTTTAATTGAAGCACATGCAGAAATAGGGAACAAATGGGCAGAAATTGCAAAGAGATTACCAGGAAGAACTGAAAATTCAATAAAGAACCACTGGAATGCAACCAAAAGAAGGCAATATTCGAAACGAAAATGTAGATCCAAATATCCAAGGTGCTCTCTTCTGCAGGACTACATAAAGAGCCTGGATTCCAACACAACTCGCCACCAGAAGAAAATTTGCCCAAACGATACCAAATCAAAATCGAAATTGGCCGATCGTCATCATCGTCAACCACAAACCGCTAATTTTTGCCCTAATGACTGGACGGTTCCGAATTCCGATTTAAAGGACGAAGCAGAGTTTTACCTCGACGATAATTTCTTTCGAGAAGGATGTAGCATCGACACGCTCATGGAGAATATAGCTGCCGCCTCCGCTGACGATGCCAATAATTATGAACGGAAAAGATATCACGGCAATGAAGAATTAGTTGAGTTTCATCAGAGAAGCAATGTTGAAATGGAGAAATTGCAGAATTGTGCTCCAGTGAAAACGGCGGCAGCGATGGAGTTTGAAGTAACAAAAGAACTTGATTTAGTAGAAATGATGAGTCAAGTGAATGAAGTTAACAAGATGAGATGAGCCAAATTTGCATGTACATGCATGTGCATGTTGCTCGCTTGCACTTGATAGACGTGTAAGAAAAGCATTTAAACAATACAACCTTTTTTCTTTTTCAAATATATTTTTTGGACATTCATGTTCTTTTATTTATGGGATACAATGTAAGAGCCAGATATCACTACTAGCAGATATTGTTCGACCGTACCGCCCGATGTCTAACTCTAATACCATTTGTAACAACTCGAAACTCATTACTAGCAAATATTGTCCGTTTTAGCCCGTTACATATAGCCTTCACAGCTTTAAACACAAATCTATTAGAGAGAAGTTTCTACACTCTTATAAGGAATGGTCGGTAAGAACTCACTAGAACATCTTAAAATATAAAAACTAAAATGAAACAAATTTCAAACCCTTTTAGTGTTATTGGTTTGTCTGCTATTCCTCTCTGGAAAGTAAATTACTCTCTCGATCATTTAATTATATTTCTTGATAAATAAATAAATAAATAGTGAAAGAGTGAGAAAGGAAACACATAAAAGAATCTATGAATGTACAAATGACATACTAACTAATCACCTAGAAAATTGCTACAATATACATCTCATTGATTAGCAAACGGGTTTATCTTTTCACCATACACATCCAACAGATTTGAGAAATGAGCATTGGAGCTATAAAAGAAAATATATGGGAACTGATACACAAAAATAGGCACAAGTGATCAGTCAGAGGGAGCTGGAAGGAAGAGAACCCATCAACATGATATTCTCACCGCCTTTATGATCTTTTGTTGTTTGATTTGATTTTGCAAATAGGGCTGATAGAGATCTCAGAGGCGAAATGGAAGTTGATTTGACGGCTCCATTCTCCTCAGCATCCGTCCTTGGGAGCCTTCCGGTCTCATCATCAACTCTAAGGCGTACCCCACAGTGACATGTTGTGAGCTTTGCAAAGCAACGTTTATGGAATAAAGTTTCACAGGATTCACATCTCTCCATCTCAGTTTCCTGAAGGTTTTAAACAGAAAGGCTCATAGATTCTTGCTTTCAAAGCTAAATAACAAAGCACTTAGATCCGAATGGCACATGTAATGCATCCCCATTGACACGAAGCTATTTTAAAGAAATGTTCGATAAGCGATGACCCAAGACATAAAGTGGTGCTAAAACAAGACATTGCAGTATAAAGTACTCAAATCATAACTAACATAAGCAAATTCAGCGTAGTTCTTTTTTTCTTAAAATATTTGGTTAGATTGGAGGGGGTATTTGTTGAGATGTTTACCTGAAAAGGGAAGATGAGAGACAATGGGGCACTACATGCTTGTCGAGCACCACACGAAACACCAGCATCACAGCATACAAGGCATTTCTCCTCTATGTGCTCCAAGATTTTCCTCGAGAGAGTCTCCAGAAGTGTAGGTAATGCTGCAAGAACAATTTAAGCATACAGCGAAAAGAAAGGTGTTAAGACGGATAAACGGGAATAACCACGAACAAGACATGACACAACACAACACAACACGACACAACAACGTTAAACCAAACCTGGCATAACTAAAGTTAAAAGCTAACCTGCAAATGCTCCTTTAGAAAGATCAACAAGGTCTCTAAGGGCAAAAAAATCATTGCTTTCGACGAGATATCTACGGAATCCAAGTCCTCGGTTAATTGACAAACGAAATGGGCAGCGAACATATGAAATCATATGTCCTATTTTTTTCCTCACACCCATAACATGAAGCAAAGCTGGGACCTTTGAGAAGAGAGAAGGATTAATCGCACTGACACATAGCATGGGCTGCCAAAGAAAGTTCAAGAAGATTTAAGAAATACTCGCTATCATTTAATAGAATTTATACCCAACTAGCCAACCATCAAATCAAGTTTTAAAATATCCAAATGCCGTTGACTATAATAAAATGAACAGTGTGAGTAGCATTTATTGCAGTAGAAAGAAGCAATGAACAAATCATAGCAAATTATATAGCTCCCTCTAGATCATAAATGATTATTTTTGTAGCATAGAAGTCTTCACCCAGCACAACATAACTTTCTGTTCTGCAGTGCAAAGGCTGTACGACAGAGTTTTCCTCTGATGCTCCCATTTAAAACTATGATGATCCCAATTACTCATACTTCCCTATCAACTTTATATGAACTAAAGAGAACTACAAGGACAGTTAGAAATGAATAGATGGAAATTTTTTCTGCATAAAATACCTGATCATGAATGGCATCCAAGTAGGACTTAGCTAGCTGAGAAACTGGGTACCTAGTGAAGTCCCAATGATGTAAAACTCTTGCTGGTATGACTGCCATCTCATTCGTATGGCATGAAGAACAGAACATCTGACAGGTGTAATCACAGATTCGTGGTTTTCCCCATCCAAAACTCTGTACAAAGCCTTTCATCAGAGTTTTCTGATCATCAAAATGTTTGTAACATCCAGCGCACGTATAATGCTGCAGCTCCAGTATTTGCTTCGTAGATTTGTATGATCGAATTTCAACAATAAGTGATATGGAATTCCCTAAAGAGGACAGTTTTTGTGCGTTAGACACACTTGCAATGGCAGATGATTGAGGTACTGCAGTATCTGATGCAGGAGAACTGGAGTTTGATTCTTGAGGCGACAAAAACCAAATTAATGCACTTGGATTTATTGAAGAAAATCTTGAATGAAGAATAGAAGATAGACACTCCTGAATTAAGACACTTCTTTCAGCAATTATATCCGGAGATGCACTCCCAAATAACTTTGTTGATCTATTATCAACAGAGGCCCAGGGAGAGGGTAAACTCCAGCCATGATCAGCAAATGATGATTTCAACAGACAATATAGAGAATAGAAATCTCGGTAGCGGCGTTCAACCTCCCATTGTCTCTTGCCACTCCATACTCTAATTTTGTATACAGTGTACTCCTTCACCCCAACTAGTCTTTCACTGAATGATACATCCCCTCTCTTTTGTCTAGCCCCCATCACTTCAACCCCATCAAATTTCAAGTTATCTGGGTTACCTGGATCAGAACTGTTGGTGCCTGAAATAGATGCAGTTGATCCTCCATCTCTTAATGGTAAAGATGTTAGTGACTGAGGTATCTTATATCTATTAGTAAATCTAGCCCTCGGAGAGTCACGCGATTCAAGTAGTATTTCTTCCATTTCATGAACAACCTCATCATAGAAATCATTTGGCTCAAGTTTTTCCAACTGCAAGTAAATAATAATAATAATAAAAAAAAAAATGCAAGAATGTCAGTGCCACAAGATGGCTATTCATTTCGAAACTAACACTAATTGCACATGTACATTACCATACACTTACAAGAGATGGATGAATGCAGAAACAACAGATATACGATTGCAAAAGAAATATAGAATGAACAGATAAAATAAGTAAAATACATTGGTTTGATGGCTCCTCTTATATTTAACAGTCTCCACTTTTTACCAGTGCACTACGGTCCTTCTATCCTCTCACGCACTAGTACGTGTCTTAAAATGTTTATAAAATATTTCTAAAGATTCATTGGACATAATCTTGCAGCTGAGGGAGAATTTGTGGAACAGAAATGTTTTTTTTTTTTCCATAACTGGGCCGTGATTTAAGATTTTACACAATTGGAGACAATTTTCAAGGCAGGAAAGAAGTGAAGGTTAAAAATAAACCAAGCATCATTAAACAAAGATTCTTATACTGACCTCAACTGGAAAAAGATGATCTTTTGATTCAGGTATTGAAGTGGAATGTATCATATCCTCACAACATTCACTAACATGAGTAGAAAGTTGATTAGTTAAAATATCTCCAAGAGGGTCCAATTTTGCCTTCAAATTTCCAAGTCCTTGGCTATCTAAGCCTTGATTTACCATTCCACAGTTATCCTCGATTTCTAGAGGTTGAGGCTGCCTTATGAAGTTACCATCAACTGCGCACATGTGCTGATTCAACGTAAATTTCTCCCCTCCGGTACCAGCTCCAGTAATATTGGTAACAAGACTTTCACTACTACATGCAGTTTTATCAGCATCTCCGGCTTGATTATTAACAACAAATATATCCTTCGTATCGTGATCTAATTCAACACCGTATGAGGAATCAGCTTCAGTTAAAAAAGTACTCTTTGTGATTTCCTCCAACTCATCAGCAGGCTGGACTTGACAGATGGCCACAGGAATGTCCCTCACTGGAATAATTTCCTTCGGTCGTTCAACAGTTGGCACAATCATACAATCCCCAAAACTACTGGCAACTTTCTTCAGAAAATTTCTGCTAACTTGATCTTCTTTGCTGGCTAAGAGCGGCTTTGTCCCATCGTCTCTCGTTGTTTTGCTACCAACAGGAGCACCATTTACAGCCTGATAAAAGGAATTCATATTGGGCTGTTTCCTTTCCTCAAATGCGTCATCAGTCGAATTCTTAGCGAATCTCTGAGTTTCACACTCAAAATCATTCCAATCATCGGAACCAAAAGCTACAGATGAATTGATAAGCAATGGATTTTCATTCACCATGTCAGTTTCTGGGAGAAAGCGTGCATTATTAAGCAGGAAAGTTTCATCCTTGTGATCACCTTCTGATAAAAAATTATACATTGAATCCTCACTCTCTGAATGCTCATTCTGGGATCTATCATCTCCCATATCCAATTCACTGTCAAATTCTTTCTCAACCGTGCAAGGTAGAAGCCCTTCTTCAAACTTCTGTTCTAATCTCATACCATTCTCAACCGTACTTCCTTCTAAACATCGCACGTGAATTTCTTCGTTTGTTACTTCTCGAAGAACAGTATCCACCCCCGTTTCCAGTTCACTGGCTTCTTTCCCCATAATGAAGCCTTCCTTTACATCTCTGCTGCTCTCGACCTTCACCGATCGATTAGTCACATCTACGCCACTTAATAAATCCGATGTGCTATCAACCTTCCAACACAAAATTTCCCCATCAGCTTCAACTGAATCCATAAGCTCATCCGTTCCATACAAATTCGACCCACTAGACCTATACTTCACACTCGGCTCTTCACAAGTGACTTCATCACGCAGTTCTATCTTTCTATAGCTTAGTACATTTGTATCCAGCGAATTCCTCTCACTCCCTCCACCCAAACTGAAGTTCTCCAGGCCGCCATCATCATAGAACCCAAAGCTCCTCGTATACCCAAATTCAGAATCACAGTCGTTGAATACTGTAATTGTGCTACGCATACTTGGCGTTCCCATTGCCGAGTTCGCGCTGCTATACCTCTCGAACTCGGAATCTCCGCAGGATGAATACCTCGAAGAAACTGGTGAAGCAACAGAGCAACAATCGACATTCTGGATACGCCAATGTGACGACGAATCCAACGGATCGGAAGAGGCGACTTTCAAAAAGGCCTCATAAGGAGCGTCTCCATTGATCATTGGTAACCATTAAAATGAAGAAAAAGAACTATAGACACAAATACGATAACATAGAAAGAACAAAATCTAAAAACTAAAATCCCTACGAAAATTAACAAAGAAAACCCCCGATTAACTGTATCACGCTCGTTAAAATCAAGACTGCCAATACAATTTGAAGCCGAACCTAATATTTGGATGATAATCGCCAATACTGGAATCAAGGGATTCAAGAAAAGTTTGATTCAACTTCGACGAGTGCAAAAGACGATGAAAGATCATCCAAAGAATCGAAATTGAGTGAGGCTTTGGTGCTGGCGGCAAGAGAGGGGTTCCGAATAACGGGAACCGGGAGAGAAGAATTTTTAGTTTTGTAAGGTCGGATACGTCGCTCAGAAAATACAGCTTTTTTTTTTCTTCTTTTCTTTTCTTTTCGGGGCTGTTCAAAAATAAAAATAAAATAAAATAAAAATAGAATAGCCGAGTGGAGACAAAATAGTCCTGGTCAACGGTTTTTTCCTCCAATGTTGTGGATAGGGGTGTTGAAAAGACCGGTGAGATCCGATCAAACTTTTCATATAAATGAGTTGGTTCATGTTTTATTCTAGAATTAGTTTGGAATTAATCCAATTAGAATTTATATTAAAATTTTAAAAATATTTTTTCTAGAATATAATTATAATACATATATGTATTAAAATTTTATTTAATTCTACAAAAATTTTAATTATTTATGCTTCAACAACTTTATTTAAAAAAAGAAATTAAATCAAATGTAATTTAAATAAATAAATAAAATTAAGTTGCAAATTTTAATTTAATGTATAAAATAAACTCATATAAATAGGAGGCACAATTTTTGTATCACAAAAATTTAGTTTTAATTTCCACATATTAATTAAAAGTACAAAATATTATGAACATATATTAATTAAAATATAGTTTTAATTTCCGTCTCAATAAACTAATACTACCATAACCTTAAGTCTTTGGTATTAAAAAATGTTTATTAAAAAAAAAAAACTCTCTATAAATCTTAGGTTCATCAATATATCATTCGAAATCGAGCCAAAATACATGTGTTCATTGTATGTGTAACAAAGGAAATTAAGGACGGTTCAATTTAATTTCGAGCTTGAACTCTTTCTCCATCCCTACTAAAATCTCCATAAAAGGGAAAAGAACAATGTCTAACTTCTACACCAGAAACGTGTACGAGATATAAAATCGCTCGTAAACATATTAAAAGTACTTGCAAGATTATTGGAAGAATTCTTCAATATTGATCACAATAAGATTTTAACTATCAAGGAAACCAACATGAGTCCCGTAAGAATTAAACACGTGCCATAAAGCATCATCAAGTAACATGAGTGACCTCATATGTCAGTTTCTGGAATCCATATCCGGAGAAGCCGATCATAAAACGAACAAGTTGCAACAGCGTACCTTTTCCTTTTGTCTTCATGAGACGAATCTCCTCTTTGCCAGTCAGCTCCGTAAGCAAGAGAGCTGTGCTTGTCATAAGTTTCAACCACTTCTGCAGTATCATCGTCTTTGACTCTAACAATTGCAAATCCATTGTGCATACAAGCCGCCAGAACAACGTCAAAAACTGAAGGGTGGGGCTTGATTCTCCAAACGCCGCCGCCCAAGCAAATTGAAGTTTCATTTGTGGGCTTTGAGATTGATCTTATGTCCCATACTCTCAGGTGCTCGTCGTAGCTGCCAGTGAGCAGTTTGTAAGGGTCATTGGGGCATTTGGCGATGCAACAAACACCCATTTTGTGAGCTTTGGTGTTGTGAAATGCTTTGGTGGGAGTGTCTCGCAAATCCCAACAGCTGAATTTGCAGTCATCTGAGCCAGTATATACTAAATGAGGTTGGTGAGTGTCAAAAGATGTTGCCCAGAGCTCAAATTCGTGAGCTTCCCATTGGTTTTGGACTTCCAAATGGGACTCTCCTGCAGAGAGTATTGAGATGGAACCATCTGAATGCCCCACAGAGATGGACGTGGCCGAAGGGTTCCAGTCCAGGCAAAGACACATAGAGGAAGAGATTTTGCTGCCACATCTCTCTTTTAAATATTGTCCTGTGCTACGGTGAAAAGATAGATACCAACTTAAACATAACTAAACCGGTTAACGAGACGTTCAAATTGTCTCACCACCCATGTTGAACTAAAAAAAACAAGAAGAATAAATAAATAAATATGTTGGAAAGAAAACCAATAAAAACTTCAAATTTTTGGTAAAAGAGGCGAAAACTTGGAAGCTTTCTACTTCCACCTAAAGTTGAAAGTCACGTAATCATGCAAATTGAAAGGGTAGAATCGAGAATGAAAGAGAAACAAATCTAATCTACATACATAATCGTTAACGTGTAGTGGCAAGGATTTTCTTCAACTAAACGATACCCATAACTTAAGAACTCTCTTTGCCAAGTTGGGTGTAAGAAAACGGGACTAGGTTTAGTTAGTGTAGAAACCATAACCCATTTCCTTCATAGACTCTTTCCTAGAACCCCATGAGAATTAATACCCATCTTGCAGTTAATACTTGATGAAACTTCATGAGCTCACGAAGTCACGAACCACTTAAAACACTCATTAAGAAGTCCAACAATCTAGCTATATTAATACGCAACAATCGAGGGTATGATTACAAATATTCTAAAATAATCTTCACGGGGCAACAAGGAGGTTTAGATGCATGGTAAGGCTTGAAAGTCTATGTTATACTTAATTCAATCTCAAATAGCATATAGAATCTATCACATTTAGCATCTTCATCCCACGTGTTTCCAGAAAGTAAGACAGAAAAAGCTTCTCGTTTCCATACCTTCTCCACCATTTGAAGAGTGCTCGAGGGCATGAACTCTGATACAACCATCAGCATCCGCTTGAGCAAGCAGAGGACTAGCGGTTGGACCAACAGGGCTCCACTTTATATCAAAGATCCCAGCCGTGTCCACGCGATGAAGCAGCTCCAAAGAGCAATTATCCGCATTGACATTGAAGATTGATAGGCTTCCAGATCGACTGGGCTGATCACCCTCTAGTAGTGTATAAGTGGAAGCCGCAAGAACATTACTAAATGAACTGTGCGGGCAAAATTCCACTGCGTCGGCATTGCCGTCTAGAGTACAGTGAGCAACGTCCATTCCTGAATCGCAATACAAAGTTTTGTTAGGAGAAAAACTACTCATTCCCAGTGAGGAATTTCGTCGAACACCTCCTGTGCCAGAACCAAAAAAAAAAAAAAAACACACTACACGACCTAAGCTTCAAGAAACGCAATCTAAAGTCATACAAGATTAAAACAGAAGAGCAAAGCTAGACGAAATCGAAGTAGCGCTCTTTTTCTTTCTGGGATTGATGGAAAAAAACGCAGCTCAAGTGGAGCGAGCATCCAAAATTTTCGCTACAGCTTACTGGTTCATCTTGTTCGGCCTCTAACATCAAACAACCTTTCTGAAGGTGAAATGTAACATGGGCCAGGATCTTGTGATTCGATGCTCGTATCGTAAAGCCCTAATAAAGGTCCGCTCCAATAAGAACATGGGCTGAATCTCTTTTGATGGATCATATCTGTTGGGCTAAATTATAAAAACTAATCTCTTAATTTTTAAATTATTTCAAAAAAATATTATATTCTCATTAATCTTTACCTTTTTATAAATACCTCAAAAATAACTTTATAATATTAACCAAATAAAAAGTTGGACATATTTAAATATTATTCTTTCACACTTGATGAAAATAATCATCATAATGTCTATTTTTCATCTAAAAATTTAATGAATTTATAATATAAGAATAATTTTGAAATATTTATAAAAATTCAAACAATAATATTGCAACTTCTAAAATAATAAAAGTAATTTTAAAATAAGAACCAAAAATCTTAATTTATTTTTAATAAATAATTTAGCTTATAAGTTAAAGTGACAAATTATTAATTTATAAATCAAATTAGCCATATTTTGACAATTATACCCTTCCAATTCTGTACTGCAATTAGTATTTAACCTTTTTTTAATTCAGAATAAAGGAGGAACTAAAGATTTTTAAAAATAATCTCCGGCCGTTTATTTATTTATTTAAGTCTTAAATTATGAATAGTTTGGGGGCATTTAAATTTTTATTAGTTATTAAATAGTTTGAATTTAAATTTATAATAAAATGGAAAGAAAGGAGGGTACATGCCACTATAGCTCATCTGGTAAATGCCAATATAAAACATGGTCACGTCAAATCATCTTAATGAAGTTGTAAAATTTGGTACAACAAAACAAAAAGAGTAGCTAAAGATTAAATCATCCCGTGTAGTCAATTTAATTTGAATGACAAAATTGTTGATGGTGAGAAAACAGAGGATTTAGAACACGGGGTAGGCGTTCAAATCCACGAATGTTGCTATCGAGTTCTTAATTTCTTTATCAAAACATATCTTAGTGGATTTCAAGTCGACATAGATTGTTATGAAGACGAATTAGTTATAAAATCTTATATACAAAAAAATTATCAAGTATGAAAATATCAAGCCATCGATTTCATGAGGCATCAAAGGTGAGTTGTGAACGAAACGTTTTTTATAAGGACGTGAAAACCTTTACATAGTAGATGTGTTTTAAAACCGTGAAGCTATCGGCGATGTGTAACGAGCCAAATTGAACGATATCTGCTAACGGTGAGTTTGTACTATTATAGTCTGACTTTATGCACTCTAAAATTTAAGATAGCATTAAGTGCTAGTTGCACTCTAAAACTCAAATTAACATAGCAATGCTGATCTTAAGCTAGAATTATGCGGTAAGTGTGAGCCAGTATCTAGGCAAGCGAGAGTGATGTTTTTTTTTTTTTTTTTTTTTTTTTTTTTTTTTTTTTTTTTACCGTGGAGTGTTGTCAAGCATTTGTCGTACTTTTAATAATTCGTATTCATTGAACAACGGTTAATGTGTCAATGTCGTCCTTATATTAAAGTTGATTATATGGTCGAGCTTGAGTGTCTAAGTTGGGACACAAATACGTCTCTTTCAATGACACAAGTACATCGTATTAATTATCGAGTATTATTTATTAGTAATTTGCAACTTGCCACATCACACACGGATACATACATATTTGATCCATAATAATTAAATTTGTTAATATAAAATTAATATAGGAACATTGGAAAAAAATCAGAGTAAATGTGTAACTCTTGAATTGTATGGATTGGTGGAGAAAGAAACTCAAAATTCATAATAAAATTACGAAATTTTAAAATACGAAAATCCAGTGAAAATTAAATTCGGGGACCATGCTCAAATTTTTGCACTTAATTAAAAATATACTGAAAGTAAAATTCCTAAGGTAAAATTTTCCTATGGTTTAATCTCCAAGTAATTACTTTTCTAGAGTTTTGA